ACATCGTGTCTGGCCTCTCATTTATCTCTTTTGAAACAATTCATTTGGAGGTCCCTTTGTAATGAGCTTAGCCTCTGTCAGGACTAAAAAAAGAATTTCCCCCATAGAAATTGATCTTGGCCTATATCTGGTATCCTGTAAAAGAATATAGATAGATATAGATATAGATATAGATGTAGATGTAGATGTAGATGTAGATGTAGCTGGGGAGTGTGATAGTAAAGTCCTCTTGCCATTGGCTCCTGTTTGTGGACATGTCAATCTAGCTTATAGTTCTGTTAGAAGAGTCAGCTGTGATGCACTTACCTGGACATGAGAAAGCACTCACGTTGTAAACTTTGAAAAACTTTAATTAGCTAGGCCTTGTTTTATATGTTGTGATGTTTTCCCCATTGCCTGAAACTCAAAGCGATAAGCAATCTTCATAATCATTAAGCTGAATCAGTCTCGATACAGCTTTTGTATTTTGTTTTCCCTTTTGAGCTTTTTTTTTTTTTTTTTCAGGATCTCACTATGTATGTCAAAGTTATTCTCAAACTTATGAGCCTTCTGCCTTAGCTTTCTGTTTCCTGGGATGGTAGCATGCACACAGCTAGCTTTGGTATCTTTTGATTTTATTATCAATTTGAACTAAACATTCATTAAAAGGGGACAAGAATTGAAAAATCACAGAATAAAAGGGAAAGAACAATACAAAACAGAAGAGAACAGTACAAAAACAGAAGAGAGATGGGAGTGCCTGTTTCAAAAGCAAACCACAACAAAAGAAACTATCTCTTTTAAAAGGTCTTTCTGAGCTTTAGTTTCTCAGCTCCTACATATGCCATGCTCAAATATAAGCATTTACAAAGCTAGTTATAAAACAGCTGCATGTGCTTGAAACCATTCATCAAGTTAGGTTTTGTTTCCTCCATCCAGGTTGCTCCTGCCTTCCTGTGAAGGGAATTTGTAAAAGACTGACAAGGTCCTTCATGTTCTAAACTGAGCCTCTGCTAATGGGAAGTTGCAATGCTGAAGTCTGCTAAGAAGGAGGAGGAGGAGGAGGAGGAGGAGGAGGAGGAGGAGGAAGAGAAGGGTGCCCGTGATGTCATTACCTTAATTTATCTTTCCAGTTTTCCTTCAAGGAAGTCTCACTATCCAGAAGGCTGAGGCTACTGAGATACTTCTACTCCCAAGTCAGTTTATGAGTTGGCATAGAAGACCCGGGAAGAGTGTAGGCTAAAGGGTCACGCAGACCCAGGAATGCATCCTGACTCGTAGCCGATGACTGTGAGTGGAGAACTGGACCTCTCTGATACATAGTCTCATCTATAAAATAGGAGTAGAATAAGCTGCCTCACAGGACCATGAGGAATAAGGAAGCTGAGTGGGAAGAATTTAACAGAACGCCTTTTCTGGTGTTGTGATAGCATTTTTTTTTAAGCCTCCAAATGAATCCTCATAACATGTATAGATGTGTATTTGTATGTGTGCACACATAAACATACACATTGCACCCACGGCAAGCTGACTTCTTTTGACTCTTATTTCCAGTTCTCATGATGCTTTGGGGGGGGGCGCCCTCTCCCAAAATACCCTCAGTTTACAGACAGGGAAACTGTGGTTCAGAGACATGCAGTGGCTTGCCTAAGGCCACACGGTGACTATGAAGCCAAGCAGAAACCCCACGCTGACATGCACCACGAAATCCCAGGCTTTTTCTAGCAGGCTCAGGTCCCTACTCCTACTGGCAGTGAGTGTCCCAAACTGGGACAAAGAAGAGAAAGCTAAGCTGCTTTGGAGGTCTCCAAACCCCAGGGTTTAGAATAAATCCCCCAATTATGCCTGCAGTTGGGCTAGCTTTTGAAACCTCTTGAACATTCTTTTCCCATCAAGTTCCTTGAAATTTCCCTTTAAAGAGCGTCTAGAAAAAGACACTCTTCATCAGCCTGACTTTATTTTCCCAATAAACAGACCTGGTCGCACAAAAGAGCCTCTTTGATTTTCAATCAATTCGTGAACATTTCAGCTGGTTTCCTGCTATTTGGCTTGAAATTGTGATCTGGGAAAGGCTGGCCCTGCAAATTGTCGCCCTGGACGAGAAGCCCCTGGAGTATCCTCAAGTTGTTATTTTTAATCACTGTAATCGCCTTTCAAAGGAGGCTCTGGTCAGAAACAGAGCGGGCCTTTCAGAGCTTTCTAAAGCACAATTACGGCTGTGGGGTGGGGGGGCAGCTAGAGGAAGAGGGGGGAAGGATGGAGAGCAGGGGTGGAAGAGAAAAGGAAGTCAGTGCAGTTGCAAGTTGGAAAAGGCTGAATAACTGTCCCAACCGCATCCAGGCTTGTGGGGAAGAAGCCCCAGGATTCAACTTCCTAAAATAGGGACCTTTTTATTCAAATCTGGAATAAAAAAAGGCTATCCTCAGATGGGGTGGGAGGCAATAGGGTGCAGATGCTATTGGATGATGAACTGAAATAAAGGGCAAAGGAGGCAGGAAAAGCAGTCATAGATTACAAGAATGGTGACGGATGGCAAATTGGGGGGAAAATTAAAAGGCAAACAGGACACTGGGGGGACATTAACATCTATAAACCCAAATCAAGCCACCTAGGAGAACACATTAGATGCAATTTTAATGTGGTGTTGTAAGGAAGTATAAGCCGATGGGAAATGTCACAAACCAAGGTAGCGCCTTCTCTTTGTAACTCTGAATCTGTTGTGTTAATTACAGAACACTTACCCAGGAGACCTCAGCACTGCTCTGCTCTCCCAAGGTCTTTTTCCCAAGATATCCTGGCTGTTGAAGGGAGAAAAGATGGCATCCGCACCTCCAGTCTGAGCACCTCCAGGTACCATCATATTCCAAAGCCTATGGGTCTAAGCTAAAGCATCCAGGGTCCTCTCTTGACCTGGTCTCAAGTCATCCTTGCTAGGCCTGGGCTTTTACCTAAAAGTTCTGGAACTTCTCTGTCCATATGATTATAGAATATGCCTCCCTCCCAGTGCTGAAGTGAGTCCTCAGACAAACAGAAGAACTAGCATGAGAAAGAGACTCCAGAATGTCCTGCTTAGCCACAATCACACACACACACACACACACACACACACACACACACACACACACACCATTTTCTTGGGTTTAAATTAAGAATAGTCATAGACAAGGTCCTTAGTATGGAGAAATCACCATTCACTCATTCATTACATTAATGGATGAGGAACCAGAAAAAGGCAGCCATTTGTTTATTCACTAGTCGTTGGACTGGAGGAATGTTGACAAACTTTTAAACCAGCAGTGCACACACAGGAAACAATGAGATGAGACAAAATCCCTGCATTCTTAAGTCAATAAGACCCACTGTCTCTCATACACACTCACCTTTGCTTGAGTAAATGACTTTTTTCAGCTAGGAAATGGGCTCAAGGAAATCAAATGGCTTGCACCCAGTCACACAGCTATTAAACTCAAATCCTCTTCGTTACCAGCCATCCTTTTCCCTGCTGTTTCCCACATTAACTTGTGAAGGTGTTCAGGAGGCCCAAAAGGTGCCTTGCCTTTTAGTCTGATCTTCCCAGGTCCTCAGGGTGCCAGGTCGTTCTTCAAATGCCAGCTCTAAGACCCCCTCCCACCAAGCTGCGTGCTCCCTCTCTGCCTGGGTGCTGTGTTTTTGACCCAACACCTTTCTTCCTGGAGAAAGGAGGATCTTGTGGACTCCCCCAGGAACAAGACGGATCCTGGCCAAGAGCTGAGGGTTCCAGAGCTGGGAGCCTGACTGGGTAGCTTGGAGGAGAAAAAAAACAAATCTACCAACTCGACCCCAGAAACAGACGCAGCTTTCTGGGAAGTGATGTTCCTGGCTGGTACAGCTGACACTGCCCCAAACTTTCTCCCAATGCTCGCAACCATTTCCCATCGCAGCACTGGGGGGGGGGGGGGGGGAGCAGGAAGGCAGCAGCTGGACTCCCAGTTGTCCCGCCAAGTGCTCCAATGACCTGCTCTTCCCCATCAGGCACCAGAGCTGACTTACGATGGAGCGCCCTATCGCCCTATCGGGGAACCCAGATGAGATCTATTAAGTTTTCCTGCCTGGGGACAGGAAGCTAAAGCTTGCAGAAAAGCTATCTGGGAAGCCCGCAGACCTACTGAGCAGGGAGGCGGTGGAGCGCGAGGAGGGAGCGCGGTGTCCTGGAGTCTTCAGGTGGGCGTGGGGCAGTCGTCCACCAGCTTGTACAGCCTTTCCCTGTACTCCGAGCTCTGCTCTCCCCACTGAGCTGCATCAGGCTGGGCATCCCCGGGCGCACAGGCTCTCGGCTGCCCGAGTCAAGGTCTCACCACATTTAAGGAGTCTTGGGGACCCCGGGTCTCTTTTCTGTCACCACATCCCACCGTCCATTGCGAGAATACCCGGAGTTCTTTGAGGACCCTATTGCAGTTGGAACCTGTCCCGGAAATCCAAAAGCTTTCTCAGCCTCCTGGGACATTGGAGAATAATCCGGGGATCTTTCTGGGGACCCTTCACGCCTCTCTTCCCCGTACCCTGAGACCGGTTAGGGACCCATCCGGGAAGTGAGGGTCTGGCTTCATCTAGAAGCTGGTCTCTCTCCTTCGAGGATGGAAGCCTCTGGGAGAGCTGCCCTACCTGAGACCCATCTGAGAGTATCCTTTTCCCCAGAGAGCCATCAGGGGAAAGGCGGGTGTACTTCACTCCAGCCGACAGCTGGAGCAGAAGGCGGGCTCCTTCCCCGTCAGGCTGGTGTGCTGTGTGGGGAACTGTGAGTCGGAGACCCGGGCTGCCTCTAATGCCTGTGGCCCCCGCGATGGGCCCCCTCCTCCCGCGACATTGGCTTGATGGGTACCGAGCTGGCAGCTAAGGGGCTCAGGGCAGCCAGGACACAGCCCCGGGTTGGGATGCGCAGACACTACACAGCCTGGAGACTGTGCTCCCGGCTCAAGCCTTGCTCGGGTCAGTGCCCTAGAGGGTTACGGGTGGGTCTCCAGCCTCCGCGCCACTCCACTTACCGCGGTAGCTGTTTCCGGGCTTATAGAAGTCGGGGTCGCCTTCCACGCGGAGGCTGAACTCCGTGTATCCCTCGCGCCGCGTGCCCTGGGCGCGCAAGATGCGGCTGCAGTAGCCCTCCGATTTGGCCACTTTATCCAGGGTCTCATCTGAGAAAGCCAGCGCCGCGGCCAGGGGCAGCGCCAGGGCCAGCAGCGCCGGACCCCGGCTGAGCCTCAGGGGCGCGGGAGACAGCCTCATCCTCGAGGGCCCCCCCAACTTTGTGCCGATGTTGCAGACCCCTGTCAGGACACTGCTGCCCGAAGAGATGGGAGCTGCGGAGGAGAAACCCGGAGGAGCCCGGGTGGCGCCGGCGGTTGGGGAGACCGAGCCCGCCTCGCTTTGGCGGCTGCGGAGCTGCGCTGCTCTGAGCGGAGCCGAGCGGAGCCGCGGAGCCGAGGGGCGGGCGGTGGCGAAGGAGCGCGAGGAGGGAGGGCTGATTGCGCCCGGATCCCCCGGAGCCGCGCTGTTTTGTTTCTGAGCTGGCGATTAGCGGGCGCTCTGGTGTTTGTTTGGCGAGGCTGGATTCCCAGGGTCTGGTGGGAGAGAGCGGGGATACGCAGACACGTGCTGGCTCAACCGACTCCCCCACCAACAAAGCTGCTTCTTCGGCTCCCAGCTACACCCCGTGTCCTGGGGACCACAGCGCTCTGAGGAGGGAAAGCCTGCCAACTAACTTTGCAAACCTACTCTGTGCCAGCCTGCTGCGCTGCTGCAAGGTTTCCCCGCGGCGGCATCCGTCCACCACGTGCACTGGCGCCACATACGGCGATCACTTATTTATAGACCAGCAGACCTCTGCAGGCCACCCTTGCTGTCCTGGTCCGCTGCCTCCATTGCTCTTCCTAGGCCACTTTGTAGCATGTCATTCTAGAGGACTAGCAAGGAGCCCAGAGACTTACGCCCTGGCATCAGCTGGCACAGTGCCTTGGCCACAACACTTCTGGAGATCTATAAAAACGTTTTGTTTAAAAGCAGAGGGGGAAAGTTTATGTCGAAGAAAATGGTTGGCTACATATTAGTTTATTCATCAGTGTGTATATGCAATCATAAACTGACGGTTTAAGAAGGAAGGTGCCAGGCGCTGGGTGTGGTGGCACAGGCCTTTGATCCACTTCTCGGGAGGCAGGCATATGTATTTCTGTGAGTTCAAGGCCAGCCTGTCTACAAAGTGAGTCCAGGACAGCCAGAGCTCTGTTACACAGAGAAACCCTCTCTCGAAAAACAAAAAAACCAAACCAAACAAACAAAACAGTAAGGTGCCTACAAAAACAAGCCTGACCATTTTGAAAAGTTCAAGGAAGGGTCTGTGTTTTCTTGGCTTAGATTTTTAAGATTCAGGCTCTGAGCCTCCAGAGACAGATTTCTGGGAGGGGCCATAAGCAGGGATCTCTCCCAACATTTCCCTGGGGGAACTTGAATCAAGCCTCAACCTTGTCACTCACCCACTGTGAGATTAGGTAAACCAGCCTTTCCCAGCTTCCCAGGAAGCATGGGACTGGGGTGTGTGGGGGCTATTAAACCAGAGCCGTGTGTGCTGAAATTCAACGAAGTGTCTCATGTAGGATATTTTGGCTCAGGTGACACCCTACTTGGAGATACCTGAATCCCATCGCTGCACATAAGCATCCCTCCCTCGGAGCTCTGAAATGCTCCTTTATTCTCTTCTCCTTCTCCAGGGCCTTCAGACACTTTTCAAGTGCTTGCAGCTAGCGAGCAATCACCTTCATCTTCTAGACTAGGTTTTTCTCTTTCTCGTGGTTACAAACAGCCCAATGGAGCCATCAGCACTGGAAACTCCATTCCTCACTCCATCCACCAACGACTGTGACTCCCACTGCCACTGTCAACAGGACAGCATCTTTCAGAGTCAGTGGAGAGAGAATCAGCCCTCTCAGTCTTGGGAGAAAGCATTAGAACTGGTCCTCAGCAGCCCCTGGATCCAACTGACCAGCTCTATTTTATGTGGGCCTTCAGATCCACACTGTATCCTCAGTAAGCCAGCTGACTCAGAGCTCCAGCCTGACTGTACTTCAGGTTCCCATTCAAGCAGCAAGTTTTTGTTGCATGTTCCTCAAACCAGGCCCTATGCCTAGCAGTGGAAGACAGGACAAAAATTCATCTATCCATCCAACCATCCATCATTCATTGAATACATCTGTCTATCCAACCATCCATCACCCACTGAACACAGCCACCCATCCATATGTTTTGAATGGATAAAGACCTATACTTCCTCCTCCATAAGTCAAATTGGCAACCATGACTTCCCTTCAGAAAACCTTGAGTAGAGTCTACTTGCTTCTTCTCATCTCTCTCTCCCTCCATCCTTCCTTCCTTTCCTCCCTAATGTAAGGCTCTCCAAAGGTTGAGCACTAGGATACAAGACAGACATGATGCTTGTATTTGTGGATCCTATAGCCTCATGGCAAAAGCAAATATTAACTGCATAATTCTATGGAAATTGAGCTGCATTAGTGATATATCTTATACTAAAATAAGTGGGTCAGGAGAACATACCTGACATTATCTCAGAGGGTACAAAATTACAGAGATGAATAAAACGCAATTGTCTTCCCGGAGCTGACTAAATATGTACTCTCGAAAGCCTTTACATCTTCATCACTATGTTTACATTTGAATTGGAGGTGGGCGGGCACAGACCAGGTAGGAATGTGCTATTTAGTTGCTTACTGGCTATTTAAGAAAACTGTAGGAGGTGGTGAACTTATCCAGCCTCCTGTCCCCAACCATCATGGCCATTTTCTACAAGAGATAATAGGACCTGTTTAGGGAATGTGTTATGCTAGTGAGGTAGAGAGTGAGGCTTCAAAATCAACATTGCCAACACCAAAATGGTGATTGCCATTACCTGAGCTCTGACAGAAGGTTCCAGCCAGCCTCCCAAGCTCCAATCCCATGCTGCCATCTAGATTTTCCTAGCCCAGCTTGGCTGTCACTTCCTCACTCTGCTCTCTCCTCCACGCATCCGTTCTGTCACTGTCATCAGTCCTACTTTCCAAGTTCCTCAGGTACAATCTGCCTGGTTTCTGCCCCCGGCTCTGCCTTTTCTCCTTCTCCAGATGTCATGTTCTCTCCTACTTGGTCTGCCTGTCTTGGTCTGCCTGTCTGTCCTCTCCTCTGTCCTCATGGGATCCCAAGAGATCTTTTAAAATGCAGATTTGAATGTAGACCCTGAGGCTACCTTTCCGATGGCTTTCAGGCTCTTAGATTAAAGATGGATCTTTCACGTGGATGCCCAGATCCTTCCTGTTCCTTCTCTCTTCTGAGCTCCAGTCCCACAGCTCCTCACTTTGGGGTACTTCTGTCTGCTCCGTCCTCACTGCCTGGGATCCTGGAGTGCTCTGTAAGCTCTTACATCACTCTGAGAGGCCCTTTTTGATGGTACAGTTATCCTTCCCCCAACTCTTTGTTGGCTCTCAGCACCTTTTCTTTTAATGGTCTTCCAAATCATACCTACCTATTCACTTGTATGTTTGTTTTTTACACTTTATACTTGTTGAGTATGTTTCTTACTGTTACATTTAAAGCTCTGAATGGGGACCTTCACCTACATCAAAGTGCCTGGCTCATAGCAGAGATTTATACATTTTTGCTCTACGGATAAAGAATCTTTAGTAAATATGCCAAAGTGTCTTCTAACTTAGCTCACGTGTTTCAAGTTAGCCTTCAAAGTCATCCACCATCTGGCCCCATTGTAACCACCAGGTATGAGAGGGTGCTTCTGCTTGGACAATTGTGACAAGACATTGTCACTTACCTCTAAGGATCACTCAATGGTCACAGGAGTGGGGAATCTCGATTACTCCATTACAAGTGCTTGCTTGGGAAAGGTGAAACTTTGGGTCTGATTGCCAGCAGGTCGAGAAACAATAACAAAAACACCCAACCAGATTATCTTGGTGTATGTCAGTAACCCCAGAACTCTGGGGGTAGAGCAGGAGGGTCAGAGTTCAAGGTCATCCTCCTTCTGTTGCCTAACCTGCTCCAGGCACTGAGGTTCTTTAGTCTCTTCTCTGGACTTTAGTATTTTTTTTTCTGTTATCACATATTGCTCCATGTGTTCCTGTCTCATCTACTGGCAATGAATCTAGTTGATTTCTGTTTAATTTCCTGTTCAGATGTTTTGTTTTGGTGTAAAATACACTGGACTTCAAGAAATATCTTTTCAGTCTTATAGCCTAAGGCAGAACTGATGTTGGTTGCTAGGGTGTTGCTAGGGAAAGTCACTTAGCCAGGGCACATAATTAACTTTATCAGTGTGTGTGGGTAGGTTGCTGAAGAGAAGAGCTGGGGGCTCCAGTTCTCTAAGAAAAAAAAAAAATATTTGATTGGTAAGAGCTAAATCAGCCACTTGGTGTTTTTCTTCTTTTCTTCTTTCTTTCTCTTTTTCTTAAAAGAGTGAAGGAAACAGTAATTTTCTAGATTCGTGTTCTGTGCTTCTGGTCCTTGAAACATGAGCATCAGATGTTTGACTCAGATGCAAATTCCAGAACCTCATCAAAGATTCATCAAATGTGTACTTCGAACAAACTGCTGCAAAGCTTAAAGAATCACCGTCCAGGAGCAAGTCACTCAGGAAGGAAGCAGCCATCTGCCTCACCCATGGGAGGAGCCAGGAGGTCCTGAAAGCCAAACATATGACCTCCCTAACCTGCTTATGCAAAGAACTAGCAGTGGTCCTTCCCGCCCAGGATTCTGAGAAACAAATCCAAGATGGAGATAAAAATTTCTAAATTTCAAACTAATCCACCAAAAGAAGCCAGTTACCATTGTCACTGTTTATTAGAAAAGACCCCAGTAATGTTATTTCTTTATGCCTTTAACTCATAAAACTAAATTTGAAGTTTTATATGAAGGCATTTCTAGAAAAAGGAAGCAGATAGACATCAAAGGTAGGTGAATTGCCTGGAGTTGTCTATTATAGCTAAAGCTCAGAGACTGTCTTTGACTTAGCCAGCTGTTTTTGATGGTTTTGAGACTAAGCAATAAGCAACAATTACAAGAATTTTTTGTTTATTTGTTTGTTTTGCTTTTTAAAAAGATATTATGAGCAAAGATTTCAATTAATTTAGAGGCTACTTCTTCAAGACCCCTTCTAGGCATTGACTAAATTCAATTTAATAACATTACATTAACCCTGATTATGTCTAGCCCATATGTCTAGGTACAAACTTCTCCATTTTCAGATTCCATTTGATATTGCATTCCCTCTGTTACATTTCTCCGTTTCCCATTGCCAGGCCCAGACCAGCTTTCTGGAACATTATTCAAGAGCCTCTTTCACCTGAAAACTCACAGCACCTAATTGATACTCCCCCAGCCTAGCTCCACCTTCTGTAGAACCCAGGTCACAACCCCTGCAGCCAGCGAAGACTCTGTCACTGTTCTCTGGATTGCCGTCCCTCCAGACATGTGCCATGGACCTGGACACTAGAAAGTCTAAGCTGACGGATGAGTCACCGTCGCTCTGTGCCAATAAGCCTGGCCTCTCTTCCATCTACTGCCCTCTCCTACAGAAACACCCTTGGCTTCGAGCATCTCAAGTTCCCAACAGCCCTCTGTCATTCCACATCCCTAGAGAGTGCATCTTCAGGTCAC